CGTTGGATGATCCTGACGAAATATGAACAGCATCACGGTCGCGCGGCGACCAGATCTCTCGCCGCAGCGATCCTCCTATTTCTGACAGATAGTTCTCCTGCTCACGCTCGCCGGGCCATCATCTCCATCGCCGCGGCGATCGTCTTTCTGATATCCTTCAGGTTTTGTTCTATCCTCTGTTTTTCACCTTGCGAATTCCAAATTTTTCCACTCCTCAGGGTGGATTGCATGTGCCTGTTCCTTGGATTTTCTCTGTATCACTCGGTAAAACCCCTTGACCTCTTCTGCCAATATGTTGTGAATCTGCCCAATTTGAGTCCTTGGTTCCTTATAGATGCAGATGTGTTTGAACCAGGACGGCGGTCTTCTCAAACCTCTTGCTGCTCCTCAATGAACTTGGTTAATGCAGTTTCCAAGTTTGTTTGTGCTCTTGAGGTTGAAAAACAGGTGCTTGTTTTGCTATTGTTATTGCTCCATGAAAAATTTGGGTGTTTCTCCATGCTGGATATATCGTATTGGAATACGGATTCCCTTGCCCTCTTGGAAATTGTTGAAGTAGTTGGCTTGTTCATGTTGAGCAAACTGGTTTCCCTCTTGGAATCGCTTGACGCATGATTTCCTGCACAAAGTTCAATGTTAGAGGTGACGATTCAATTGCATTGATTTCAATACATTACAATTGCTTCTGGATGTTCGTAAGTTGAGCAGCCAATGCAGTGTAACTGTCGACTTCGTGCACTCCCGCTGATCTCCTTGCTGAATTTTTTTGGAGTCTATATAGTTGTTGTTCGCCATTACCTCGATCAGATTGTATGCTTCTTCTGGTGTTTTGGTGTTCAAGCTCCCCCACTTGCAGCTCAATCATGGCTTGAATGTTGGTAGCAAACCTTGGTAGAACGTTTGCACTTGTGACAGATTGGTATACCATGATGTGGGACCTCCGTAGAAGATCCTTAAACCTTTCCATGCTTCATACAATGACTCTGAATCTGTGATAAAAGTTGGTAATCTCACTCCTCAATTTGGCCGACTTGGCAGGTGGAAAGTACTTAGTGAGGAACGCTTGAGCCAACTATTCCATGGCGTGATACTCCCAGATGGCAATGAAAAACCAAGCCTTAGCTTATCCGTAGAGAGAATGGAAAAGCTTAGTTGATTGCATCCTGGATACCCCATTATGCTTGAATGTGTCACACAACTCGAGGAAATTTGCGATATGCAGGTTGGGATCATCGTTTGTAACCCAGCGAATTGGATTGACTGCTGAATCATTCCAATAATTGCTGGCTTAATCTCGAAATTGTTCGCTTGAAAGGGTGGTCTCTTGATACTGAATAAAAGCATCAATAGTAGGACTAGAATAGTCCTTCAATGCTCTCTGAACCACTGCTACTCCACCCATTGCATTTTCTCCCAAATTATCCTCATTCTCATTCTCTTGATTTTGCATATTAGGATTGACAACTCCTCTGTTAACCATGCTTGTCAGATTCAGCTTGCCTCTTTTCTCTTCTCAACTGTTTTGCGGTTCTTTCGATCTCAAAATCAAGTGAGTAAGATGACCACGATTCTAGAACGTAAACTCTCCATTCTATCTGAAAACCAAATAAGACAAACAAAAATACAATTAATCAGTAAAAAGAAATAAACAAATCAAATTAGCAACTAAATATTTCGTATTGATATTGGTAAAATAAAGTTCCCCGGCAACGGCGCCAAAACTTGACGGCTATTCGCAGTGTTCGAAATCGTGCAAGTAGTAAAACTCGAGTAACTCGAATCCCAAGGGAACTACCTACCAAGTACCAAACTAATCTATTTTATTGCTATTTGATTAAACTGAATTTAAGAATGAATTTAATGAAAAAGTAAATAAACTAACAACTAAAATTAAGTACTGAATAAAGTGAACTTATAAACACTTTGAAGTAAAAATCAATATGACTAAACCTAGGGCATAGATTTCACACCAATTTAATTCTATGCATTGACATTTGTGTTAACCTAATCGAGTGTATTCTAAAAGCCAAATCCCCTATTATTCCACTAACTCTCTCTCGAGCAATTAGCAAATTAACCCTTAAACAACAACCCAAGATATCTCTAAATTGGATTTAGAAGCTAAGAGATCATTAAGCTCTATGGAATTTACCGGAGCCTCATAGATCGCGGTAACCTCTCTTAGTGTTCGCTCCATCTATGGTTTTATACCAAGACAAATCAGGTTTCATCTCTCGATCTCAACCTAACCCTTGAAATCATTCAACCCTCGGGCCCTTGAGAATTGAAAGCATTATGCATAGTAAATAAACTCAGAATTATAAACTCAGTAAGGATTAACAACCATTCAAGTCAACACATATTCTATAAATCGGGCTACATCTTAGCCCTAGACAAGAAAGTTAGTTCATAATGAAAATAACAAAACCCATCATCTCATTAATGACATCAATTTGAGAAAAAGATAAACTTCTCTAATCGGTAACGAGAGCTTTCAGGATCCCGATCTCCAAATTGGTAGCCTTTCTTCTTCTCCTCCAAAGTCCTCAACTCTCAAGACTCTCTTTTATATCCTTAGGGTTCTGGTGTGCTTAGGAAAATATTAGAAAACTTGGCTCATTCAGATTGGATTAGGATAATGAATAACACAAACCCGCGACCCATCGCCACAGCGGTAAGAATGATACCGCGGCGATCGTTCCTTCTATCCAAAGAATCTATAAACTTCAGAATTAGATGAAGTAATCAACATGAACATTGTAGCTCTTTGAATAAGCTTTCCAACGCCACCAGAATCATCAAATTCCGACTTCACAGCTCAAGTTATGATAGAAACATCGAGGCATACTCATGATGAGAATTTCCAGATTTTCCGTAACATCTTCGACGTACCACAACTCCCTCATTTCGATCCTGATTCTTGTGCCGTTTGTTCCTAGTGTGTGAATCCTATCGATATCATTCTTTTCCTTCAACAACTTGTTTGAGCTTGAAAATACTTAAAGGGCACCGTGATCCCATAAAGGTATTTATGAAAGAAATAATCCAAATTTCACACTTTAAGCACATTTTTCCATAAATAAACCATTAAATCACTAACAAAATATCAACATTCAAGCTTACATTCTCTTCTTGCAAATAATCTTCTCAGGGCTCCAGGTTGAAGACCTTTTCGCTAAACTAAAGAGTGCTGCGTTACCAATCATATGCAAAGACTATGAGCAGTGCTTTTAACAAGTTAATTGGTGTTCCGTTGCTTTTCATCTTGTATCTTCAAGCTTTCAATTCCATGGAAAATCATTAAGGGAGGAAGTAGGATTTGCCCTTGGCATTGGTCATATGGATGATGATGAGAGCTAAGTGTTGGTTGACCCACATATAATTAATACACGAACTTGAGGTGGCATGCGCCCATCTATTGCCTGTCCATCTTATCCAGCTACCATATTAGAGATAGGAACCTTTCTAGGTCACTTTAAGTGATCAACAATGAAACTCAGGTTGACAACTTTAAGTGATCAACAATGAAACTCAGGTTGACAAACCATTTTCAACAATTTTCTCTAACAAACGCAATTAATTGGTCAGCTCGTAATGAATTCTATCTATCTAACAATGAGTCTTACCTGACCAGTTATGAACTGTTTTAATTGTGAGTTACCACGTCGCGTACGTTTATACGTTTGTGAGAAAATTAGTGAGAAATGTTTTTGAGTCTATCTTTAGTATTTTTTTTTTTTTCTTGCCCTCTTCAAATAATTTGCCCTATCATACTCTTGCTACCCTTGAATTGTGGACAACCTTGGACAAAGACCCATGATCAAAGAGTTATTATTATCGTAGTAAATTCAAACCCAGTCCATTACCTTGTTACTCTGTCAGAAATTGTAGAGTTTTTACCAGCCATGAACTCAAAGGCTAGGGTTGGGCAACTTCGGGTACCTGCCCCTTTTTAAGGAACCACAATCAGAACCGGCCAGTTCCTTTGATTTGGAATTGGAACCAAAACATATGTTATATGTTTCGGTTCCGTATACTCAGGCAAATATCAATTACCCCCAATTTTTTAAAAATGACGAATGAACCCTTATAAAGTTTCTTACACCCCTATTAGTTTTCTGAAATGACAAATATATTATATTCTTATAAATTAAATTATTCATGCAATAAATTTGCTTTTATTACTAGCTAGCATACATATTTTTCATAATAAATGATTTGTTGTAATTAAACATTCATACAAGTTACACATATTTGTTTTCATTATTTTATTTAATTATACTTTTATAAATGGTCGATATTTATTAAAAAAAAAAAATACCTATGAAACTTTTATTCCAAGTTCTAACAAATGAGGAAAAGAAAACACAACATTTATGACAATGCAACTACGAAACCTAGTCAAAAAGCAAATTCAAGTAGGTTCATTCTCACTTCATGATCTAGAACTTAGTGAGCAATTTGCTTGTAGCTAATAAGTTCTACTTTTACACTGCAAACAATCAAGCAGATAATATATAAAACATTGTCATCATCGTTATTTCCCCCATTATACATTAATATCAAATTGTTGTGAGATAACACTTCACACAGATAAAAAAAAATAACTCAAATCCTAAATTTTCTTATATATTTATAGGACATAAAAATATCAAAAAAACCCCCATAATTTAATGTTATCTTATGTAGTCCCGGTTTCTGATTCTTGGTTCAAGTTTTGGCTCTTTAATTTAGAATCGAAACTTGAACTGCATAGTATCAATTCCAAATTTTTGAAATTGGAACCGACCCTATTACCGTCGGTTTCGGATAGAAACCAAAACCAAAACACAAGTACCCATCAGTTTCGATTCTACCCTAAAATTTTGCCCACCCCTATCAAAGGCAAGCTCCAATTCCACAAGTACCCTCCTAGTGTGCTCTAGTTTCATTTCTTAACCATCACCAGCTTCAACCTTAAAAGCCACCTACTCACCCTCATGGTCTCACCTTTTCTGAGATCCTCTTCTTCTTGCTCTTCTCGTTTTCTGGTTTTTCGTTAATCATAACTTGTTTGCTTTGCCAAACCATGGAGATGGAGCAGAGTGACCGGCCCAAACACGATTATTCCACTCTTCCTGAAGACATCCTCACTAATATATCCAAACGCCTCCACTCAATCGACGATACTCTCCGTTTTCGGGCTGTTTGTGATATGTTTCGCTCTCTAGTCTCAACTCCTTTGACAAACCTAATTCCAAAGTCAGCTCGACGGAGCTCATTTCGCTTGGGCCCACTCAATAACCGTCGCACTCAGCAGCAAATCAGGCGAATCCAGAAACCTGCCAGCCACTTTTTACTAACCGAGTCGACTGTTTACGCCGTCGAGCCACGTCACCCTATCTACAACCCACTCGAAACGACGCAAACGTGGATGATCAGAATCGAGCACACAAACTCCGGCGAAGTCCGGCTGAAGGATCCGCTTTGTGGATATCGTTTCCAAAGCCTGTATAACAAGTTACCGAAATGTTTCAACTTGTTGGATCATCAAATTAAAGAAATAACAAAAGCTTATCAACTTGAACCGGCCCGAAAGTCTAAAGGAAGAAGCAGATTGTTTTATAAGGGATCGTTTAAAAAAAGGCCAACTTTTTTCGTAAAAGTTGTGGCTTCTACGGCTACGGCTCCTGACGATCAGTTCTCTGTTATGGCAATTCATCGTTCAAGTAAACTGTTTGCATGGAAAATCGGAGATAAAAGTTTAACTGACATATTCCTTGGTCATGATAGTTATGAAGATATAATTTATCATAATAGAAAATTCTATGCGTTGGATTATATGGGTAAGACTCTAAGTGTAGATTCTCGGTCTTTCGAAGTTATTCGAGTCACGTATATGGATAGCATTATCCCTGCTGGACGACATCACTTCGTGAAGTCCTGTGAGGGCCTGTTCTTGATTTTCCGGTGCTGGGCATACGAAGATAGCCGGATGTGTTTTGAGGCTTTTAAGCTTGACGAAGAGAGAAATCAGTGGGTTCCGGCGGTGCATGAGTTGGAGGATAGGGCGTTGTTTGTCGGTGAGGATTGTTCGTTCGCTGTTTCGGCTAAAGAGTTCCGTGGATGTAAAGGGAATTTTATTTACTTCAAAAGTAATAGCTTCTCTAAAGGCGTTAATGAAGATTACCCCGGAGCCTCTGCTGGGATTTTTAACTTTAAGGATAATAGTGTTGGTCGGCTGGCGGTCTTCCCAGGATATTCCGAGATTTTTTGGCCTGTACCATCGTGGCTGAATTTCCATGCTGCCTCAACATCTACTCATGCTCCTCACTAATGTCAGTTTTCTTTCTTCCCCATTTTTTAAACTCTGAATGGAAATGTTTCCTTTTAGCTATTTGTTTAATGCATGTTGCCTTGTTTGTTCTGTTATAGATCTTCATAGCTCTTAAAAATTAATTTACCAAGCAAGTTTAATTATGTGTCTTAGGGGTTACGAGTTGCCTTATTTTTATTGCTTATGTGTTTTGGTTGATCTTCTGAAAACACAATGTTTTCCATTTAGTTTCTTTCTAGTTTAAAGAAGTTAGAACCTCTCTGGTATAAATTTAAAATCTGGAACAAGGTATATAAAAATATTCAGGCTCTTGTATATAAATTTCGACTGTCATTTCGGTATTGTCTTGAGGTTTGATGCAAAAATGTTCTCTGTTTTCAATATTCTCAATTTTCAGCTTAATCTATCAAGAGCTGATCATTATATATTTATGTTTGAACGGCTGTCATTGACTTTCTTATGTTCATCCCCTTCACCATGTGCTACCCTTTTTACACTCGATATAATTTCCAGTAGCTTGAATGCTTTAAGCTCGTTCAAACTTTTTCTATCTTAGTTTTGTTTGGTTTTCTGATAGTTGTTGACATTATCGAACAAATAATGTTAGTTCGTAATAGACCTCGGTACAAAAGTTATTAATCTTCAGCTGCAGACTCTGAAACTCCGATTTTACTTCAAATTCAGCCATAGCTATCTTGATGTCGTAGCTGTTGAATGGGCTTGAGCTGTCACATTTCCCTTTAAATTTTACCCTACCATTACAAGCTATTTCACCTGAATTTTTTGTTCTCCTTGTTGTCCATGCTTGCAGATGACTATCGCATTTGAACGTGATTGGAATAGTCACTGATTGAAGGCTTGTTGGATCAATGTTCTGTGCAGCTCTAACAACTCTTGTCTGCAGTTCTCTGGTACTAAGATTAGTTCGTAGTTCCTTGTCTTAACTGTAGTTCAGTCTTTATATTGTGCGCTGGGTTTGTGTTAAATAAATGAGATCCAGAGTTTTTCAAAAGTGACAAAGACACCCAGTTATTTTAAAACAATGGGTGTATCTCTCACTTTCGGAAAAACTATGGATGTTATAAACGCTGCATGGAAACTTAGAAGGCGAAAAGTAATTATCTCATGAATGTTGACAAGATGGTACTTCTTGTCAACATTCATGATGTGTGTTACAGGATGTACTATTTTTTTGAAGTCCTACAGGATGTACTATTTATTTGGGTTATTAGTACTTGTCCTTAGTATTATTAATGTAACTTTGAGAAGCTGTACTTCTAAAACTTCTCTTTATTCTCTATTAGGGATGATGTGTGCTTAATTGATAAATTTGTATTGTTGTGTAGATTGGAAAATGGCCCCCTTCTCTTCCTTGTGAAATTCACATGGGGGCATGGCGTGTTTGTTGGGGGAATTGTACTAAAATAATCGTACACTGTCCTTCAACATAATTTCGCCAGCATAACTATACTGATCTGGCCCTCGCCCAACCCAAGCCCCCATGGGTCTTGTTTTATACCGCGTTTTGTGCTGTTGTACTTGTGCTTCGAGTCAAATCATACATAATTGTACTAGTATCACAAGATATGTATCATGATTGAGATGATTCATCCTCTTGGTCACATGGGATTAATATTGCATAAAGGCCCGTAGAGATGCTCAAAACCGGTTAACCGGTCCGAATTGATTCTTTTTTTAACCGCAACGGAAATCTAGTTTAGGAAAAAGCCTGAACTAGTTTAGTAGACTAATTGGTTTTAAATCGAATCGAAATATCGGTTAATTAGTTTTGAACCGATTTTATTAAAAAAATTGATTTCAATATTTTTAACTGCAAATTTGCAATGCATAAACATATATTCAAGATTGAAGTAAAGAAAATATATTCAAGATAGAAGTAAGAAAATATATTCAAGATAGAAGTAAAGAAATAAAACCTATCAAAATCTTGTATTACTTCCTTCAAACAACTTAGTTAGGGTTTAGAATGTTTAGATGATTTTTAGATTTTTAGGGATTTTTAAAGACCGATTTTAAATATTGGGTAAACTGGTAACCAAACTAGAAAACTAGGTTTTTCAATCTTTATGAACCAAAATTGAATCGGTTTTCAAAAAAACTGGTTTTACAATTCGGTTTCGGTTTGGTTTTTGGTTTTTTTAACACTCCTAATGAAGGGTGTATTTGATTCAGGAATGTTGAGTGGTGGACCCAATGAATGCTAAGTGGGCCACTCAAATTTTGAAAAATTTTAGGGTGCGTTTTGTTTATTATTTTGGATAGGATTTTGGAAATAATATTGGGTAGTTGAATAGAGGAGTATTACGAGGTAAAATTTAAAAATTTATAAAAAAAACCCCTAGGTTTGCTAATTTAATTAAACACCCTAACATGTAAAATGACAAAACACCCCCACAACCCGCAGTGCCAAATTTCAGCAACCACCGCCAGAATCTGGCAGGAAAATTACGTTACGACATAGACCGGTCGGATATATGTCATAACGCGTCATATGGTGGCCAGATCTAGGGCCAGATGTGGCCGTCGATTGCCAGAAAAGGCCAAAAATATGGTCGTTGTTTTCGGTCAACGACGGCCATTTCTTTGCGACGGACCAGCAAGTTCTAGTCGTGGTGTAGGCCGTTATACAGATTCCGACTACCACCGATGGTGTTGCCAGAATCTGGCAAGTATAGGTTGATGGGGGTGTTTTTGTTAATTTTTAAACTTTTTTCTGGGGTATTTAATGAAATTAATAAACTTAAAGGGTCTAAAGTAATTAAAAAATATAGTAATATTTCTGCAATAATGTGCCAAACAATATTTGGAGAATAGGATTGTGAATATGGGTAGAAATAATAAGCCAAATATATTTGTTTAAATTTTGCCTCTATAGAACTTTGAGATTTTAGAAACAGAACGGCCCCCATGGTAAGTTTGGATTTTACTTTTGTAAAACCCCGTTTTTAATCCTAATATACATATTACCTATTTTTAGTGATTTTTATTTTTATGCAAGGAGATTTGTTAATTTTTAAAAGTTTTACTTGAAGTGAAAATGAAATAAATAAGAGATGCTAGGTTTGCCTGTAACCGAGGGGAGAAATTTGGGTATTTTTATAATAGAAAGTTGATGTGGTAGGGTCATGGTGAGAATAAGAGAATTTCATGGCAGTTTTATAATTCCAAGAATCTGTTTTATATATAAATTGGGTTGTTTGCCCAAAATAAAGAAGAAGAGAGAAAAACCCATAAAGAAAAAATAACGAAGAAGCAAAGGAAAAGGAAAAAGAGAAGAGAGGGAAGAATGGATTTGGGCAGTTTTATCCATTTGATTTTTCTGCTCTTGAGTTAATGGTACTTGAGAACCAGACTGAGACTTATGTTATTGACATGCGTTCTTCTGATGAATTTACTGAGTTATAAGAAATTGGTGATTTAGCTAAGAATTTAGTTGTATTCATTGGTATATAAGCTTGTGAAACTTGCATTCATTTTACTAGTCGTGACTGTGATCGTTAAAATGACTTTTTCTGCAATAAATCTTGTGAAAAGTCGATTAACCAATCGAATAGGAGATCAATGAATGAATAATTGTTTGGTCACTTATATTGAGAAAGATGTATTTGATACAACTAACAATGAGATGATTATTCAACATTTTCAAAATACGAAAACTCGTCGAGGATAATTCTAGAAAAATTGTTTTATTTTTACAAAAACTATGTTTTTTGAAGATATTTATTTGCATTTTATAACTTTTTGTTTAAGCCCATTATAATGAAAAAAAAAAAAGTATAGTTATGATTGGTTTTGATTTTTTGATTTTTTGCTCCCATCGAGTGAAATTCTAGGATCCACCATTGGGAATGTTTTATTGCTAAAAATATAGAATTACTAATGAGATAGATTAACTTGAAGATTAGTAGGAATGTTATATTATATATGTTTGGTTAGATTGAAATAAATTAGTTGGTATAAATAATTAATATGTTTTGTTGGAGAATAAAAGAATTCTGGGAGAAGCCTTTTACTGAATTGCCCTATTTTTTAATATTATTATTTTATTGTTTAGATTATTACTTTTAACCCCTTATATTTGATAATTTAGCTAAAATACCTCACTCCCCAATCACAATAAAATTTTAAAATTTAACAAAATCCCCAACCACCCAAGACAACTGTCGGCCATAGGCTACCATCATCAGCCGCCGTCGGAACGACGCACGGCTGATCGGGTCTTGTCGGTCATGCATCGATCTGGCAGTTTCTAGCCAAATCCATGGGTGGAAACGATGATGACCAACAGTCATCTTGGGTGGCTAAGGTGTATTGGGTGGTATTCATATAAATAATTTTCAGAATAAGGACATTATTTGTAATACCCTGTATTTTCTTTGTGGGTTTTATTTAATTTTATTTATGTGAATCTAGGGGGTAATATGTAAGAATTGAAACTTTTTAGAGATGTTATAGTAAGAAATTAGGCATGGTGGGTTATTAGGTAGTTTTACAAGAGTACTTGTGCGAAATTGGAAGTGTAAAAATCTTTTAACAACTTTATGAAATTGATTAAGATAAGGGGTCCTTTTAATATTGTGTCATGCAAGGGTACATGCATAATTCTCCAGGGGTGAGATCATGATAAAACTTAACTTTATTTAAAGGATTTTGGGGTGCAAGATGTAAGAATCAAAGACTAAGGGATGCATGCATAATTGGCCATTGCAAGATGGATTAAAGGCAATTTTTCTTTAGGAGAATTAGCCCACGGTTTTTCGCCATTGTTTTGCCATTGAGGGTGTGAAATTTATGAATTTTGAGATGAGGAATGGTGGAGTGGAAAAAGAGAGAAAGCCGAAAAAATAAAAAAATAAAAAAAAAAAAAGCCAAAGAGAAGGGAAAGAAGAGTGAAGAGAGGGAGAGTGAGTGTCGGCTAAGTGAGGAGGAGGAGATCTCACAAGTTTTTTCTTCAATGGGTAACATGCATGTGATTTTAGAGTGCATATCATTCCACCATTCATACAGTTTGTGCATTTCTTTTTCTCTAATTCTGGGTGCTTGGGTTGTAGGTGGAGGAGAAAGGCAAGATCTTTGAGGCAGCTGGACCTTTCGGGTGAGTAAATTTTTTGTGTGAGTGGAATAATATTGCATGAAACTGCATGTTTTTATTTCATGTGTGGTTGTGGACAATTCGGGTGTTATGTCACTCTTTAATATTTTGTTGGTGTGTTATGGGAATGCTAAGCAGTGAATTGTGATGAGGAGAAGGCATGAAATTGATAATTGATTGGTTGCGTTGGTTGGGTAATAAAATTTAAGATAGTAACATATGAGTTTTGATACTTTCTTAATGTGATTTATTGTTATTTGGTTCAATTATGATTTTGCAAGTTGGAGCTGCTGGAAGTTACCTTGAGTATTCAATATTTACTGTTTTGATATTGTAATGTTGGCTGGAATGTTTCTTTAAAAGAAATATTGGTATGATGAAAACGTGAACTGAACTTTGTATGTATAGAATTGCATTGATTTTTTTTTTATTTTGTTGGCTGGAAGTTCATTTTGCTTGTGCTTGACGTCATTTGGAAGAGACATTTTTGTTAGCTGCTGGGAAATTTGGGGAAAAGATAGTTGTTTGAATTATTGAGTTTTATATAATAGTGGCGGGCCTAATATAATAAGGCCCAGATTTTGTTAGTTGGGTTTTAAAATGGACATGGCCTTTTGAAGCCTATTTGGTTGTAAAATGAAAATGAGGCCCAAGTATTGTTTGAGGCTTTAGATGAATTTGTTTATATTAGTAGGATGGCTTATTATTATGATGAGGCCCAATTTATTATTTTGTTGGGTTTAGGCTTTGATGATAATGGTGGAGAGGTAATGTGGGAAAAGAAAATTTTGTGAGGCATTGTGTTCTCGATTATGGGTGTGTAATTGTCAAGGTCGAAAGTCAGTTTGGGGGTTGACTGCAAAGAGTAAAAGTTTTGGGACTTCAGAAAATTGATGATAAATATAGGGTGTAAATAGAATTTTTCACACTTTGTACTTTGACATGGTGAGCATTGCATTCATGATACATGCCTTTTTATTTGAATTTTATATCGTATTATATTTTTATATTGTACAAGGCATGCATGATGCATATTGGAATGAAATTCTGGTGCATGATTATTAATGTTTGACTCCCGAATTAGAAAACACCATTGTTTAGTATCCATCTCCTCCATACATCAGTTAGTATTTGACATTTCTCTCATGCGCGCATTGAGATGGTCCGTCCTACCGAACCATTGGTATATCCTATAGAACAAGACGGACGCCGACGAGCTCCAGGCGGGATTACACCAGGCGGTTTTTGGCGGTGTGGGATTTTGGAGCCCGAGGGTAGACTGTGGGCGAGATTATATTGATACCATATCATGACACCCCGAGGGTAGACTGTGGGTTGAGCATGGTTATCCAATGATGTTCGTACCACCCGAGGGTAGACTGCGGATGGTGCCACCCCGAGGGTAGACTGTGGGTGGTGTAGCTTCATGTCTGAGTAGGAACTGGTTCAGATAGTTATGATCTTGGCCCTAAGTGCTAGTAGGGTGGTGATAATTGATTTATTTTATATGATAGTGGTGTGTGATTTCATGGCATCCGAGAATAATAATATATTAATACTGTTGTTGCCTTTCATGTAAGTGCACTAGTGTTGTGTGGCATACAATTATTCATACATGTTTTCAAAGTTAAAGTTATTTTCGTATAAACATATTATCCGCTCACTGGGCTTCCCAGCTCACTGTTTATGTTTCCTCCCCCAGGACGTAGATCGGGTTCGTGTGGAGCATACTCTACGCTCTAGGTTGGCCTTGACGCATGATGAGTGCATCTTTTACAAACTTTAGTGGACTCTGATACTATGTTTCTTTGTAACTGGATTTCAGTTCCTGTTTTAGAATAATTATTGTGTATTTCCACCTTCTAAACCTTAAACATGCAAATGCACTACTTTTCACTTTCGCCTATAACGGAATTGTTTTTATGAAGTTTTTTTTTTTAAAGAGTATTCACCTTCCTTTCGGGATCTTGAGTCTCCTGGAGCGTCCGGATCCGGTGGGATAGGGATACTCGAGAGGGGGCGTGACATTATTGTCCAAAAATTTAATTACTCAGGAGTAAAATGGTACAAAAATAAGATTAATTGTAAAATGAGGACATTTTTGTCCAAAAATTAATTTATGAGGTTACAGAAGTTATTTGAACGGTTGGGTAATTGTTATTTGATAGATATACAAGGATCCTTGTATTCAAAATGTTAATTAATGAAGGGAAAAATGAGAACAAAAATTGATTACCCCAATAATCTTAAAGTACCACATTTCAATCAATATTCAAATTACCTCTAAAATTGCTTACAATAATTACTTTGTATTAGAAGATACATAAATATTATATTACTGACAACCAAACCAGATATTCAAATTAAAAAATAGATTACGAGAATAATCTTTCATTACCACTAACCAAACGCTCCCAAAGATGAACAACTTTTTCCCACCCAAGGTTGGCCTCATGACCTTCCCACCAAAAGTTTTAAAACGAAACTTTATTACCCAAAACATAGATCCATCAGTAAATTTTGTTGGTGAGAATATAGCATGGTCAAGAGTCTGTTATAAGTAAGGACATGATGGTCAAACATTATGAATCAAAATCAAAATTAAAATTCGAAGTTCTTCGCCGTCGTCTTTTTTCTTCTTCTTCTTCTTACCTCCTCTTCTCTCATTTTTCTTTATTCTTCTCTCCCTCCTCTTTTCTCTCTTCTTTTTCCTTTACAATAAAATACACTATATTAACGAAAATTACTAATAGAACATAACATTGGCTACTAAAGTGTCGTTTTGAAACTTTTTGGGTGGGAAAGGGTCAATAGGCCAAACCTTGGGGGGAAAAATGTGTTTACTCTTAATAAAATACTTTTAATCTAAATATAGATATTGATAAATTTAGAATTTATGAAAACGATTTTATCATTTTCTAATTTTAAATTATTTTAAGTATTATATCAAAAAATTATTTGAATACATAAAACAATCCTTAAGTTTCAATTATGTAATATGAATAAAAAGAGATCTGAATAATAATATATAACCTTCTTTTTTAAATGAAAATTTAGGCCTCTGTTAGTTTCTTCAGAGGCTTATAAAAGATGGCCCATCTCTGGCCCAAGGATTTCTCCAATCGGCTCTTTAAAACGAAACAAAAGCCTAAAAATTTTAGCGTTAACTTGAATATTTAAACAAGAGAATCTGCCATTTTCGTTACATGATTAGACCTTGAGAGCAGTTGAACTGAATTACTGTTAATGGTGTCTTCAACTTCGTCATCAACAAGTTAAGGCATAAAAGGTAAATATATGTAGTAGAATGAAACGTTGGAATTGGAAGAGACATTGATTCGGAAGCCAGCTTGATAGACAGAATAACCCTCTGAAAAATTAATCATCAGAAAGGTTGATATTTATTATTGCAGCAAGCAATCTCAGCCTGATTTGTCAACCCAATAACATTGGAAATGACATAGCTTTGTCTGGTAGTAGCTTCATAATGGTGATGGCGGTCTGAAAAACAGTGGATTATTACTCCTCCACCAAGCAGCCAATGAACCCCATCAATCACTTAAAACCTCGAGCCATGAGCGAACTAATCCTTCGTCATTGTCTTCTTCTTCTCGTTCGTTAATAAGTGTTCTAGAGTTTAATTTAAATTCAACTGCCTGGAGTCATTCCCCGATTAGATCACTGGCCCAGGACACGACAGTTACGGTGGCAAAATAATTTTTAGTTTTATTTAAATCTCCGTACTTTCTTAAAAGAAGTCTCTCCACTCATTATCTCCTGCCCCCATTGACCTAAAATTCCAATATTATCACCACTTTTATTTTATTTTATTTTTCTCAAATCTCAAATATATTTTAATTTTGTTTATTTATACAATTTATATTTGATAAATTCTTTCACACAAATATTTTTTTACAATCTTAATATAATAGTTTATAATTAATCAATTCATAATTAATTAGTAAAAGTCATATAAAACCTATGTAAGATTTATTATTAATTAATTAATTACAAATTTTTATGTTAAAATTATGAAAGAAAGTTTATACAGAAAGTTAATGTTATAAAATAATGTTTATAAAAAAAGATTAGTTACCGAAGAAAGTTTATAAAAGAAGATTGTTGATATAGTATTATTTTATTTGAATATATTAAAAAATTAATTTTTCATAATTTTTTAATATGTAAAATTATCTTTGCCCCCACTGAAACAAAATCTTTGACTCCATCCCTGCAAGAATGGACAACAAAATCATTAATTAATATTGTTCTCACTTTCTTTTCTCCCTTAGTTATTATTATTCTTTTGCTAGAATATTTGTATTCCAATTGCCATGTATTGTACAGTAAATCCGAAGCCAATAATCTTTCTCTTGCTCGAAAATATCTCACGATATAGACTCTATTATTAAAGCCGAAGATCTTGTTATTTCCTATTTGAGTTTATTTTCAATTTAATCATATAACAAATATTATATCAGTCTGATTATAATTTGTTTGAAGGGGTTCAAGAACTGAGATAAAGACTATGAAAAAAGAAAACTCGTTAAGATAACTTTTTGTAATTTAGAATAATTCTTTGTAACAGCTTGTTAATACACTCAATAACGTAATAATGGACCTAGGTTTTGCATTATAAGTAACTAAATCACTTTAAAAAGCTTCTCTTTTTGTTATTTTATAATTATTCCTACAAATTCTTCATTAAATTACCTCCATCGGATTTACTAGAATCACACACACATTCTATATGGTTTTAGCACTGCTAATCACGTATCTCTGATTGATGCAATTTTTTGCATTAACACCATATTTTTACCTTAACCTTTAAATTACATAGTAAAATCCTAATGAAATACTAACATAATAGAGTGAGTGATGCTATTTAACCCCCATTTTTTATCTTATTAAACTCCATCTCTAAATATACCCCCATTCATAGTTTTAAAGCTATATAAATGTTTAAACAAACCCTTTTTGTTTACTAATTAGCCTTACTATTTATTCAAATGCTCGCAACTAACAAACTCAAAATTCCATAAATTTTTAAGTTTAGTACACACGGATAAAATAAAATTAATAATAAAAAAAAGCAAAAAAAACCATAAAATTTAACAATTAGAAGTGTAGAGTTATACTCTTTTTGTTTTATAAATTTCATCTACGTTTGTTTAAAAAAGGTAACATATAACTCATGAAAGAGAATAATTATATTAATTATCTCTAACTAGTCAATTGATTCCATAGAAACTTGAGTCCTTCATTGATTACTAATAAAGATAGTCACTTGGTTATTAATAGAAATAACTACTCAAGTTTTTACTTGATCGATAGTTTCAGAGTTCTTAGAGATTAGTTGAAATATGTGTAATCTGACTTAAATATCCACAGTCATTAAAAAAAAAAAAGTAACTACATTTTAAATTAAATTTTCAAATACTGTATAATTATAATAAATAAGGAAAATAAGGGATTTTTGGAATTAATAACCCAACAATTTATCTTGTAAATATAATTTTTGTAATGTCCTCTTTAGTAATTTTATGTTAAGGATAAAGTTTTAATTATCATTAAAATAATAGGAGGGGTCTAAATTTAAATTTTAAATACCTAATATTATGTTGAATTAAATACCAAAACGGGTGAGTATAAAAATCCGGGTGTTTGAATTTGGATCCGAAAATATGAACAAGAACCCGGCAAATTGAATTGCATGAAAATTCAAATATAGCCTCTGCCAACCCGACTATAACTTTCAGCGGGTTTCATTGTTTCCACTACGAATTTAATTCTAACTAATTTTAAGAACTTCGAATTTGAGTCCGCCTTCTACCAATCTTCTTCTTCTTCTTGAAATGGATCGTCGTTTCAGGAACCCACCAACCCGTTGGCCCACGCTACCGGAGCACTTTCTTGCAGTCATCGTTTCACGCCTACACTCTGTCGACGATGTCCTTCGTCTTCGCTCCGTTTGTAAGTCTTTTCGTGCCATAGTCCCCTCTCCTTTCCAAAGCCTAGTTCCACTTTTAGTTCAAAGAACTTCCTTCCCCATTGGCCCTACCCCATCCCGTCGCTGCGGCCACTTTCTTCTCACTGAGTCGACTGTTTATGCTATTGAGCCGCTTCACGAAGTCGCCAGTTCGGCAGAAACGACTCTAACATGGCTGGTGAAAATTGAAGAGTCGGACTCTGGTGAAGTCCGACTCAAGGATCCGTTTAATGGATTCCGTTTTCAGAAATTGTGTAATAAGTTGCCGAAATCTGTAAACTTGTTGGATTATCGTATTAAGGAAATAACTAGAGCTTATAGGCTTGAATTGGGCACTATTGGGAAAGGTACTAGTAGGCTTTATAGTAATAAGGTTTACCAAAAGTCTACTATCTTTGTTAAAGTTGCTGTTGGTACAGATGTTGATAAATTTGCATTCATGGCGATTCATCGGACTAGGAGGCTGTTTGTGTGGAAACATGGAGATGAAATGTTGACTCAATTGGATATTGCTCCTAATGATTTTCGGGATCTTATTTTTCATAATAAGAAATTTTATGCCTTAGCCTCTACGGGTCAGACTTTAATTGTGGATTCTATGTCTTTTGGTGTTTCTACAGTTTCGAAGCTGGACGGACTTATTGGGCGAAGTTACCTGTTAAAGTCGTCTGAGAATTTGTTTATGGTTAATCGGGATTGGGAAATTGAATGGGAAATTGAACCGTTACGTTGGAGTTTAAAGGTTTTTAAGTTGGATGAAGAGAAACATGAGTGGGTTCGCGTGGTGGATGGATTAGAGGATACAGTGTTGTTTGTGGGTGACGATTGCTCATTCTCTGTTTCAGCCAAAGAGTTCGCTGGGTATGAAGGGAATTAAATTTATTTCTCTCAACATAGGTTCGGTAAGGCCCGTAAGGGAAATTGTGAACATCCTGGAATGAACGGTGTGATTTTTTTCTTGCGGAGTAATTATAAGGACCGGGTCTCGACCTTACCTAATCATTCTAAGATTTTCTGGCCTGTGCCGAATTGGCTGGATGCTGGCTCAGTTCCTCATGACGTAAGTTTTTTCTTCTCTGGTTCATGTTAGCTCTTTATTTTTCATATTCATGTGGATGTTATGTTCTCATTCTTCATTGGTTAAAGAGAACTAAACCAAGCAAATTCCTGTGTCTTAGAAGTTAGGAGTTGTTTATGTACTGAACTTTGTGGATTCTTTTTAATTTGATGCATTGAGACTTTATAACATAGACTTGTGCATAGGATTGTCATATATGAAACACTACTGTTCCTTTTAGTTGTTTACTAGTGAAAAGAAAATATCACCTGTGTAATGCAAATTTGAAATTCGAATGGTATAAAAGAATTTCAGAGCTCTTGTATATAATTTTCAGTTCTGCTTTTCAACATCGAGTATTATTATGGATTGTATTCTTGATTCCTTGTGTTCAAATATGTTTGATATAACAAGCTCTATTCCTATTTTCTCCATTTGCGGCTTAATAGAATTATGAAATGTGTTAGACTATCAAGAACTGATTAAGGTTAATCTTTTTCGGATATATATTGTTAAGCAGGTGTTACTTTTTCTTGTTTATACCCTTCTTTATTAGCCATGTTGTCCTCCCTTAAAAGGCTAATCTTGAGGCAAATCATAATTTGCCAGTAGCTTTTATGTTTTAAGTAGTTTCTTTTTGGATGACTTTGGGATTGGTTTTTCTTTCAAATTATTGATATTATATTTTGGCCTTTCTCTATTGGAGCTGACGGCATTGGTTTTAAGGGAAGTAAATCTTTTTCAAAGAAGGTCAAATATCTTTCAAATATTATATAGTTTTCTTATACATGAAAGCTTTAACTGTGGTGTCATATTGCCAAATAAAAGATGTTGTTACTTTTTGATATTATTGACATCAAAAGTTTAACAAGCATTGGTAGAAACATTTTGATTAATTGTGCCTCAGATAGGATGTTCTGATCTTGCTGCAAACATAATAAGATTTAACTATGGTGCTGTTCACTTTTGATATTATTGATCAGAGACTGTGATTCCGTAGTTGACACGTTTGGGAATTTCTGTTATCTTCTGCTTTGGAATGCCAAGTTCTGAATTTGCTGCATTCATCCCGTAGGTATCACGATATTGTAGTTGTCTGACCTGTGAGGAGTTCAGCGTCTCAGCCAAAAAAAGATTGTGCAGATGATCTAACAACTCAGTTGCAGTCTCTGGTACTAAGTTTAGTTCATAGTTCTTTTGTTAAGTTGGTATTTTGAACTTGTGGAGCTGTTGTTAGCAAGATGGTATCTTTGCTATTTTGAACTCCTATTCATGTAAATATGTATATGGGTACTTGTGTAGTGTTAATTAAACTATTATTAAGTAATCTTATGAAGTTGTACCGAGCTCTCGTTTTCTACTTTTCTTAGTGTCAAGGTTCGTTTACTGTATAAAAACTCGAATTCTTGGCTGCCAAACAAAATCGAAGTTGATCTACCATTATAAAAATTATCAAGAGAAAGTTCCCATCGCCTGCGTAGTGGGCAATTTTTTAAGAACCACTTCTATATAATAATCAAGGTTGAATATTAATTTGGAGGAATATGCTTGGCTTCCAAGACAAGGAAAATCTTGTCATGTGAGAATTTGACCAGCGAATTACGTTAATTTTCAAACCTTCTGGCTTCTGCAGGGTTCCAACAACTTCATCAACATCTTCTTTCGATTCTCATCCCTTGAAGTCACCAGTTTTGCCATACATGGACATGGCGACGCCTGATTGGTCCAGTCTTCCAGATCACGTTCTTGCCGCCATTGCAAAGCATCTTCAAACGCCAATAGATACTCTTTGTTTTCGTGCAGTTTGTAATTCATTTCGCTTCTCAATCCCTCCGCCGAAACTTCCATCTCCACGTCCAGACCTTAAAATTTCCATCCCTCCGCAAACCACCAGCCGTAGAGGACACTTGGTACTCGCGGAGATCACCTTCTATGCAATCGAACCCCACACCAAAATCTCCTATCCACATCAGACAGAAACATGGGTAGTCAAAATGGAAGAGTTAAACTCTGGCAAAGTTCGACTAGAGGATCCACTCTGTAGACTTCGTCTTGGTAACTTGTCGAACAAGATACCCAAACTTGAAAAGTTACCCGAGTCTCTCAACCTGTTGGATTATCGGGTTAAAGAGGTAGCTAAAGCATTCAGACTTGAAATGGTTGCTCAAGGTAAAGGTATTAATAGAAAGAAACAGGTTGTTTATAGCAAAGCGGTTGTATGTACTTATCAGGATAATAGAAGGTGGGGATCAGCTAGGTGTATGGAGAAATGTAGACAAGAAATGGCCTATCATAGACATGGGTTATGATTCTTTTGTCGATATAATTTATCATAGGAGAAAATTTTATGCTATGATGTGCACTGGCCTAACCGTAACGGTGGATCCTAAGTCTTTGATTGTTATTAAAGTTGCAAGTCCACCGCAAAGTTGGAATTTTGGTGAACGTTACTTGGTAAATTCGTTCAAGGATTTGTTTGTGATCATTAAGAAATCCCTATGGTGTTGAAACTGAAAACCAAACAGGTCACAAGTAAAATATAATATAAAAGACATAGCACACGATTTATTCTGATTCGTTTCGATTAAGAAACTATTTTTGAAAATTTTAGATTTTACATTTGTTTAAATTTGGCTCTATAGAACTTTGAGATTTTGGGAGGAACGGTCCCCACAGTAAGTTTGGATTTTCCTTTGTAAAACCCCATTTTTAATCCTAATATACATATACATATTTTTTTGTGATTTTTATGCAAGGGATTTGTTAATTTTTAAAAGTTTTACTTGAAGTGAAATGAAATGAATAAGAGCTGCTAGGTTTGCATGTAACCGAGGGGAGAAATTTGGCATTTTTACAATAGAAAATTGATATGACAGGGTCATGGTGAGAATAAGAGAATTTTAGGGCAATTTTATAATTCAAAGAATCTTTTTTATATATAAATGTGTTATTTGCCCAAAATGAAGAAGAGAGAAAAAAACTCATAAAAGAGAAATAAGACAAAGGAAAAAGGAAAAAAGAAGAGAGAAAGATGGGTTTGGTTAGTTTATCTATCTGATTTTTTTGCACTTGAGTTAATGGTACTTGAGAACCGGTTGAGACTTATGTTATTGGCATGCGTTCTTGTGATGAATTTGCTGAGTTACAAGAATTGGTGATTTGGCTAAGATTTAGTTGTGTTCATTGGTGTATAAGCTTGTGAAACTTGTATTGGTTTTACCAGTCGCGACTGTGATCGTTGAAATGACTTTTTCTGCAATAAATCTTGTGAAAAGTCAGTTATGCAATCGAATAGAGATCAATGAATGAATAATTTTTGTCACTTATATTGAGAATATGTATTTGATACAATTGACATGAGATGATTTCCACGTTTTTAGAATACGAAAACTCGTCAAGGACAATTGTAGAAAAAATTGTTTTATTTTTACAAAAACTCTGTTTTTTTTAGATATTTATTTGTATTTTGTAACTTTTTGTTTAAACTCATCGTAATGAAAAAAAAGTATAGTTATGATTGGTTTTATTTTTTTTACTTTTGTCCCCATCGAGTGAAATTCCTAGATCCGCCATTGGAATGTTTTATTGCTAACAAAGAAAGAATGATTACGATGATTACCTGATTAGTAGGAATGTTATATTTATATGTTTGGTGATTAAAAAATTGGTTGGTATAAATAATTAATATGTTTCGTTGAAAAATAAAGAATTATAGAAGAAGCCTTTTACTGAATTACACTACTTTTAATATTATATTTATTGTTTAGATTATTCCTTTTAACCCCTTATATTTAAGAATTTAGTTAACACCTCACTCGCCAATCACAATAAATTTTAAAATTTAACAAAATCCCTAACCACCCAAGACGACTGCCAGCCTAGGCCACCATCATCGGCCGCCGTCGGAACAGGGCACGACTGATTGGGTCTTGTCGGCCATGCGTCGATCTGGTCGTTTTAGCCAGATCCATGGCTGGAAACGACGACGACCGATAGTCTCTTGGGTGGCTAGGGTGTTTTAGGTGGTATTCATTAAATAATTTTCAGAATAAGGCATTACTGTCCAAAATTTTAATTACTTATGAGTAAATGGTAACAAAAATAAGATTAATTTATGTAAAATGGGGACATTTTTGTCCAAAAAAATTAATTTATAGGTTCAGAAGTTATTTTGAATAGTTGAGGCTTAATTGTTATTTGATAGACATACGAGGGTATTTATATTCAAAATGTTAATTATTAAGGGGAAAATGAGAACAAAAATTGGATTACCCCAATAATCTTAAAGTACCCCATTTCAATCAGTAATCAAATTACCCCAAAATGCTTACAATAATTACTATGGTATTAGAAGATTACATAAATCTTCTATTACCTAACACCAAACAAGGCAATGTTCGAATTAAAAGATAGATTATGGGAATAATCTTTCATTACTGCTAATCAAACGCTCCCAAAGAGTAACGACTTTTTCCCATGCAAGGTTTGGCCTAATGACCTTTCTCATCCAAAAAGTTTTGAAACGACTTTTTACTACCCAAAACATAGATCCATCAGTAAATTTTTTTGTAAGAATGGTAAGATAGTCAAAAGTCTATATATAAGTAAGGGTACGATGGTCAATTAACATATGAATCAAAATCAAATTTAAAATTCAAAGTTCTTCGCCTTCTTCTTTACCTCCTCTTCTCTCATTTTTCTTTATTCTCTTCCCTCCTATTTTCTCTCTTCTTTTTTCTTTACAATGATATACACTGTATTAACGAAAATTACTAATGGAAAATAACATTGAATACTAAATGTTGTTTTGAAACTTTTTGAGTGGAAAAGTGTCAGTAGGCCAAACCTTAGGGTGGGAAGATGTTGTTTACTCTTAATAAAATACTTTTTCTAAATATAGATGTATTGATATAATATTTAGAAAATTATGAAAACCGATTTTTATCATTTTCTAATTTTACACTTATTTTAAGTATTAATCAAAAAAAAATTATTTGAATTTCATATAAACAAATCCTAAGTTTCAATTAGGATATATTTGAATCAAAAAGAGATCTGAATAATAATAGTAATATAAGTTCTTTTTTAAATGAAATTTTAGGCCTTCTGTTGGTTTCTTCAGAGGCTTATAAAGTGACGGCCCTCTCTGGCCGAAGTATTATCTCCAATCGGCTCTTTAAAAACAAAACAAAAGCCTAAAAATTTTAACGTCAACTTGAATATTTAAACAAGAGAATCTGCCATTTTCGTTATATGATTAGACCTTCGAGGAGCAGTTGAGCTGAACTATACTGTTAATGGTAGTTTGAATTTGATCTTCAACTCCATCGTCAACAAGTTAAAGGCATAAAGGGAAATATATGTAGAATGAAACGTTGGAATTGGAAGAGACTGATTACGAAGCCAGCTTGATAGACAGAATAATCTTCTGAAAAAAATCATCAGAAGTTGACATTTACTCTTGCAGCTAGCAATACAGCCTAATTGTCAACTCAATAACATTGGAAATGACATAGCTTTGTCTGGTAGTAGCTCATAATGATGATGACGATCTGAAAACAGTGGATTATTACTCCTCCACCAAGCAGCCAGTGAACCCCATCAATCACTTAAAACCTCGAGCCATGAGCGAACTATCCTTCATCATTGTCCTCTTCTTCTTCTCGTTCGTTAATAAGTGTTCTAGGGTTAGGGTTTAAATTCAACCGCCTGGAGTCATTCCTGATTCCCCGATTAGATCACTGGCCAGGACACGACAGTTACGGTGGCAATATATTTTTTGTTTTATTAAACTTCCATACTTTCTTAAAAGAAGTCTCTCCACCCATTATCTCCTCCCGCCATTGACCTAAAATCCCAACATTATCACCACTTTTATTTTATTTATTTTTCTCAAATCTTAAATATATTTTAATTTGTTTATCTATACAATTATACTCGGTGATCTCTTTCTCACAAATTTTGCTCACATGCCGTTCATAATTATTCAACTAATAATTAATTAGTAGAATTGATATAATTTATTATGAATTGACCAATAACAAACTGTTATGTCAAAATTATAAGAAAAAATTTATAAAAAAAAGGTTGGTGGTGTGTTTAGTATTTTTCTATTTAAATATATTAAAATTGATTCTTCGTATTTTTTAATATGCAAGTTTATTCTTTGCCCCCACTGAACAAAATCTTAGTCCATCCCTGCAAGAATGGACAACAAAACATTAATTAATTTTGTTTGTTTCTTTCTCCCTTAGTTATTATTATCTTCCAGAAATACTATGTTTACTGACCACTTTTACTAACTACCTTATTACGTTTATTAAAATTATATATAGTACCCATACTATACGTTTTATTTACAAAGGATAGTAAGATGGTGAGTGAGCATAGCATTACTCTTACTCTTCAGCTAGATATTTGTATTCCAATTAACATGTACTGTACAATAAATCCGAAGCGATAATCCTTCTCTGGTTCAGAGATATCTCAAGATATAGACTCTATTATCAAAGCTGAAGATCTCACTAGTTTCTATTTGAGTTTATTTTCAATTCAATCATGTAATAGATACTATATTACCTGAGTATAATTTGTTTGAAGGGTTTGGAGAACTAAGATAGAGACTAAGAAAAGAGAAAATTCGTTGAGATAACTTTTTGTAGCTCAGGATAACTCTTTGTAACTCCACTTACCATTACACTCAATAACATAATAATGGGTTTAGGTTTTCATTATAAGTAATAAACCAATTTAAAAGCTTCTTTTTTCGTTACTTATAATTATTCTTGCAAATTCTTCATTAAGTTACCAAATCACTGATCTATCAGAATCACGCACACATCCTACGTGGTTCTAGCATTGCTAATCACGTACCTTTGATTGGTGCAATTTTTCGCATTAACACCATGTTTTTACCTTATCCGTCAAATTACATAGTAAAATCCTAATGAAATACTAATATCATAGAGTAGTGATGCTATTTAACCCCATTTTTTATCTTATAAACTCCATCTTCATATAACCCATTCATAGTTTTAAAGCTATTAAAGGTTTAACAAACCCCTTTTGTTTCCTAATTAGCCTTAATATTTATTCAAATGCTCGCAACTAACAAACTCAAAATTTCATAAATTTTTAAGTTTCGTACACACGGATAAAATAAAATTAATAAAAAAAAGCAAAAATAAAAAATAAAAATAAAATTGAATAGTTAAAAGTGCAGAGTTATACTCTTTTTGTTTTATAAATTTCATCTACGTTGTTTAAAAAAGGTAACATATAACTCATAAAGAGAATAATTACATTAACTATTTCTAAGTAGTTAATTGGTTCATAAAATTCGAGTCCCTCCTTGATTACTAATAAAGATACCACTCGATTACTAATAGGAATATCACGAAGCTTTTATTCGATCGATAGTTCAAGAGTTCTTAGAGATTTGTTGAAATATTGTAATCTGACTTAAATATCTACGGTCTAAAAAAAAAAAAAGTAATTACATTTTAAATTAAATTTTCGAATATAATTATAATGAATAAGG